TGTAGGGCAGTTACAAATGGCATTCATTGCTGGTGGGAGTAATAATTGGTCTCGACAGTTTGGAAAGGAATTTAGAAAGATTTAAAATAATGCTGAGCTATGTACACTCTATGACCCAGTAATGCCACTTCTCCGACAGGCTAACTAGTCAGGTACAAGGACGTTCATTGGAGTAAAAATACGAAACAACCTAAAACTCTATCCATGTGAAAATGGATAATTAACTATTGTCATAATTGTGCAGCACTTATAATGGATGGAATTACTATAGAGACATAGGATAATCCTTGATACAAAATACTGAGTGAAAAAATATGCAGAATATTAAATTAAGATCTTTTATATAAAATTAAAAACGCATTACTGCATATAAGTGTGTATGTATCCCTAAACAATAGATAACAGTGAAAGCATGAAAACATGAAGGCAAAGGATATATACACTAACTCCTGAATAGTAGTTACTTTGACTTCACGGATTGGAATCCAATTGTGGAGAGGAACAACTATATCCACAACATAAAAAAGGAAAAAAAGAAACAAAAGCACTGAGGCTAACAGGATTACATGCTGGCATCTTCTATCAGGACATGGATTTGGGTATCTGTGATAATGCTCTCTGAACTTCTCTGTTGGAAATGTTCCATAATTTTTTTTTCAGTATCCTGTTTAAACTAAAGGGGATAAATGAGATTACCCAGGAAAAGTGAACAGGAAAAATAAAAATTAGGGAAGGCAGAGCAGAACAGAACTGGAGGTAAGGTAGAGAAATTCCTTGAAAAACACAACTTAAAATTGACACAGAAGAAAACAGAAGATCTAAATAGCCCTACAGCATTAAGGAGATAGAATCTGTCATTTTAAAACTTCCCACAAAGAAAATGGCATCACTATCCCTGGTGAATGGTATTAGACAATAAGGAAGAAATAACATCAATAATACACAACACTTTCAGAAAATAAGAAGAAGGGAACACCTTCTAGTTTGTTTTATGAGGCCAGTATCCCCCTGATGGCAAAACCAGACAAAGACATTTAAGAAAAGAAAATTTCAGAGCAGTATCTCTCACACACATGGAGAGATTAACAAATTGTATACAACAATCTATGCATTAAAAAAATATATTATGACCAAATAGAATTGGTCCCAGGAACACAAGGCTGATTTAAAATTTTTTAAAGAATCAATCAACAGAACATATCTCATTAACAGAATAAAAGATAAAAACTTAACTTCATCTCAACAGATACAGAAAGTTTATTTCACAAAAAATCAACCCCGATTCATAAGAAAAACTCTCAGCAAAGTAAGAATAAAGAGGAACTTTTTCAACCTGATAAAGAGATGCAAAGATGGGAGTGGGCTAGGAAAAGTCTGTGGAGTAACCTGGGAGGGAGAAGCCAAAATACAGCAGCACCTTGAGAACAGGGTCTCCATGAGGTCAGAGCGTTTTAAGGAGAAGAAAACAGTCTACCGTATTTCATGTTGCTGAGGTTGGGAAAGACAAGGACAGAGGCACATCCAGGGAGGTCACTGGTAGCCTTGAAGAGAGCAGAACCACCTCATGGGTCACTCCACCTTTTATTTCCCATGCTGTTCTTCGTGTGACTTAGAGTTATTTCATGTATTTCTACTCAAGAGCAAAGCAAACCAATCAACAAATTAACAGGTTCTAGAAAAAGGCAAAGCTTGTTGAATTTTTCTTTGGCCTACTGACTGATTTTGAAACTAAAACTCTGATATTTCTATTTAATACAATAGAAATCCTAGTGTTCAGAACAAAGCTGATACTCAGCTATTATTTATTGAATGAATAATACACATCAGACTCTATTATTATTCCAAGTTAGACATTCCTTTCTTCCTAGAGTGAGAACCATTGAACTTGACTTGAATCCAATCCTGCTCTATCTTGGGGACCAGTCCTGACATTGGGAATGGATTTTAAAACAAACGGGGCACTTGGGTAGCTCAGTCAGTTAAGTGTCTGCCTTCAGCTCAGGTCATGATCCCTGAGTCCTGGGGCTGAGTACTGCATCAGGCTCTCTGCTCAGCAGGGAGCCTACTTCTCCCTCTCCCTTTGCTTGCTTCTCTGCCTACCTGTGCTTGCGCTCTCTAGCTCTCTCTCTCTCTTTCAAATAAATAAAATTTTTAAAAAGAAAAAAAAAAAAACAGGGATCCCTGGGTGGCTCAGCGGTTTGGTGCCTGCCTTCAGCCCAGGCATGATCCTGGAGACCCGGGATCAAGTCCCACATCGGGCTCCCTGCATGGAGCCTGCTTCTCCCTCTGCCTGTGTCTCTGCCTCTCTCTCTGTATCTCTCATGAATAAATAAATAAAAACCTTAAAAAAAAATACTTAACCTAATAAAAAAAAAAAAAGACAAGAAAAAGAAAAAAAAACAACAGCAGCAAACTCAATAGGCGCTCATATTGTTGTCAATTGTCATATTGTTGACAATTACACTGAGATCTGTTTCTCTCTTAACCGTATCACTTAAAAAATAGCTGGACAAGATTTCACCAAATTTGGGAGTTATAGATGAGATGATCTGACTTAAGTATGGCTTATGAAAATTACCTAGAAATTAATTTCAGCAGAACCTGGAGGATACCCCAAAAAAGATAGTTTATCATTATAAACAGTACTGAAACTTAGAAACCAGGCAAACCCTAGGTGCCTATTAATCACACAAACACAGTCACTGTAAACTAAATAACAAAGAATAGCTTTAGGCACCCACCAAGTCATAGGATGGGTAATACAAATTGTAGGCAATGTTTTATAGTTAAGCTGCTTCTGAGGAGGTAACTCTATGCGGCATGCACCAGGGTGAAGAGAGCAAGGTTCATTTATTAAGTGGTGGTGGCTGACCTCCAAAATAAATCAAATCAATGTAAATAATAATTGCAGCTATCACTTATTAAGGGATTATTATTTTGCCAGACACATGTACTATCTCATTTAACTCACACAACAATCCCATGAGGCAAGAATTACTGTTGTTCCTATTTTAAAGATGAGGAAAGTGGGGATTCATAGCCATGAAATGACTTGTACAGGGTCCCTCAGCAAGAAGGTGGCAGACTGTTGTTCAAATCTAGGTTTTTCCACCTGTTAGGTCCAGCCTGACCTTAGGCTTCAGTTACTATAGGGGTCTCCATTTTGTCTCTTGGGCCTGAATAGCTCTGGGCCTGGAGCTCTTCCTTGAGCTTCCTCTGGAACATCTCATCCCATCCAAGGCAACTGGAATCCCACCTACACCCCCTCAACCACCTGCACCCTTTCATAAATGTACAATTTTGCTATAAAAGCCTGATCTTCGGCAATTTGCCTATACTCACTAATTGTTCAAAATAAGTTGGTGTAAGTAAAAAACGACAAGATAAATCCAGTTGAAGAATCACAGTAAGACAAAGAATTATACTTCAGGCAAAGAGCCAATTCACTCTGCACCGTCTCTTTCTAATAAACATAGCAGCAGTGATGGAAAACAATGTCTGGGGGAAATAATATCTGACATAAACCAGGAAGACAAATACCTTTGACTATTAAAGTAGAACACAAATCTCCACATTTGGTAGTATAAAGTTATTAACTCTTCAAGTGACAAAGAGCCATTATAACTTGCCTTTCTTTTTAGGAATACTTCTTGCCAATGTCAGTGCAGCATAAATTTTCAAACCAATTGTGACAACAGATGCACCTAGTTCTCTAAGAAAAAATCTTTAGAATGAACTACGAGGTGGCAGATGTCATTTGTATAGGACCCGGCAGGTTAATCACAGCAACAGCCAGTGGGAGAGCCAGGGAATGTTTAACAGATGCTTCCCTGGAGGAAAAAACCCAGAGTTGTAGCATTTTGCTGATGTCCATGGATGACGTCCAGTAAATACTCCCACTGTGGTTGTGATTTCAAGCTACTGAGGTGACTGATCAACACAGAGCTGGAGAGAGATGTGCACAGTGGGCTCTCAGGAGCTGCTGTGAACATGCTCCAGCCAGCCACTGGTGATCGCTAATATTTACTCGTTATGTACTAGGTGCCAGGTATGTGTTAAATGCTTCATAGCCATCCTCTTTGATCTTTATCACAGGCCAATGGGCAGGTACAGTTTTATCCCCATTTTATAGATGAGGGAATGTCACATAGCTAGTAAGTGTGAAGAGCTGGCATTCAAGTTCCTGGCCATCTGCTTCAATGGTCCCTGCTCTCAAATGCCCTCCTCAATCTCACCTCTCTGTAAGTAAGTAGTTAAAGAAGGTATTGTGACCATTCCCGCCCCATTTTACAGATGATACACTGCTAAAGGGTAAAGAGCAAGCTTTGGGGTAACTGGAATGTGGTGAAGGGGATGGACTCACAACAGCCAAGGAAGGGGCTTTCTCTTCCTGTTCTGCTAAATTTCATCTGTCCTTCAAAACCCAGGTCAGAAATTCCCTCTTTAGTGGAACCTTTCCCAAATGCCCCATAGTTGGTACAACCCAGATTTTTTTTTCCTTATAAAAATTTTTATTTTTCCTTTCTCAAATAATCCATGCTCATTAAAGAAGATAGAAAATATCAAAAAGACAGAGAAAAGTCTCTTGTGGCCTCACCTCCCCCTCCTCACAGCATTTGATCCCTATTTGTACTATTGGACTCACTCCCCTACCCAGTGACTATCTATTATGTTTCACCCCTACCAGACCATGTGAACTTCACCTGGGAAGACGGCCTGTGTTACCAACATCTGTAGCTCCATTTAACCCCACCCTGGCCTACCTCCATCCCTAGCACAACACCAAACACACGGCTGTCCCCTCCATTAATCCAGGTGCTTTATCAGGTCTTTTAACTTGTACAAGGACACACTAGGCTTTTCATGTTTATCTTCCAAGCTGTCCTGATTTTAACTAAAGTTGGTTCTCTTCATTTTCTTGACCACGTTACGACATCCTTGCCACCCTGAGTGGGACGGAGCAGTGGGGAGCGGGTGTTCCAGCAGGTGTCTTTCCTTACCTGCATCCCTCTCATCTTCTGGAATCTTGCAATGGTGTCACTGATGGTGTACACACGCACATGGCCCATGTGCAACTTGCCAGAAGGATAAGGGAACATGGAAAGCACATAAAACTTGGGCTTTGATTTCTGGGAAAGAATGACAAAGAATGACAATGAGCATTTATTTCCCCAGCATTGACTGAGACCTATATGCACATAAAATTTTGGCACTATTTTTTAAAAGTTTAACATTTTTTAAAAGTTTCCTTTAAAAAAAAAAGCTGCTCCCATAAACTGACAAAAACGTCAAAAACCAAACTTCAAAGCCCTTGTTTAAGCTAAAGAATGTCCAAAATAATGCCTCAAAGTGCTAATTACCCATATATATTTTTTTTAATCCTTTTCCCCCCTCTTTTCAAAGCTTCCCTTTTAAGACAGTTTCTATCTAGGCCTTAAAGAACTAGATGTTTTTCCAAATGAAGCTCTAATGCATACATCCATATAATTCAAGGACACAATAGTTGAATTACACAGATGTGACACCTTTAAAAATGGAGCCCCTTCCTAAATCCCCTGTAGCTGTATTCAGACCCGGATTTAACAAGTTGACCAGGATCCTGAGGCCCCACTTAGGGCCCTGGCTTTCTCTGCTGTATTGTGAGCTTATCTTTTGACAAAGTTGAAAGGGGAAAGTAATGAGAAAATCATAGCCAACAAGGCGAGAAGGTTGTTGTTTCCCAGGGGTGATCTACAGACAGCCTCCTGCCAGGGTTAGAAAACCTCCCAGCTGCCAAAGACACAGCTGCACCAGGAGAAACAGAAAAACAGTACGTGTGTCCAAATGGAATGAACACAGGGTGGGGAGTCCTTCTGAGATTGCTGACTTTGGGCTTATATACTGCCCGAGGGGATAAGCCTCCAAAGGAATCATGGTAATATTTAACTGATTGCTAATTAGGGGTCTGTGATTCAAGGGCCAAGGCTATGTTTTAATTATCTCCCCCTTTCCATCCTCCCCTACCTCATTCCATCTCACCCCCACCCCCAGCAGGAGTTTAATAGCCAGCCTCCACAGAGTACTTAGGACCTAAGGGCATTTTCCCCAGCTACACAAATCCTGTCCAGGGGACAGGTGTTCCCCCTACCCAGCCTGAAATGCTCTCATGGCAGGGCTCTCAGAAGAAAGGAAGAGGTAACTGCTTTTGTTGGGTCTCAGGGTCAGCACCTTCTGATATTACCACTCATTTATTTATTTCTGCCTCCTGTTTTTCTCTTTCTGTCCTCCCTTCCTTCCTGTGGCCCTGCTAGAGTTCTTGCAGGTTTTGCTTCTCCAAAAGGAATGAAAACAAAGGCAGAACAGAATATTCGTGACCCTTCTTTCGTGTACAGGGGGGTGGTATATTTTTTGCTAAGTATTTGCACGACTGATCATTGACACAGCCAACTAGAGTCAGGGAAGCAGAAGAAACCAGAAATTAGATTCTTTCCAAGTCTCATTTGACCCCTTGCTTTAAACTTCCTGCAGCAAAGAAGTTAAACAAACCTTTAACTGGGCTACTAACATGGGGCAAAACAAACTAGAATTTTCTCTGTACTGCCCAACCTCCCAAAATTACCGAGAGGTAAGTCAAGCTACTAGAAGGAAGGAAAGGGAAAAGAGAATACAGAGGACTCTGGCAAAAACACGAACCAGAAAATCACGTAATGCTGGAGTGACAAGTGCAATTGATTTACATAAATGGATGGAAAGCAGCACGCTGGTCACACTTTGATCAGAAATTGCAGATCCATGATCCTTAGGAAAACCTCAGGAGACAGACAGTCCCTGAGGTGTGGAGGCGATGGGGACTCAGGACTTGATGTCTTTAAGAAGGAAAGTGACATATAATCCTCTCAGCTTGGAAACCAGTCCCTCAAAGGAGGGGCAAGACTTTACTCTGTCACTCAGTGCAGAATCTGGAGCAAACTGTCCAAACCATTGGAACCTCACTCCTCACTCCTCACAATGGATTAGGTCTATTGCCTTTTCTTGGGGCATTTTTAGGGGACGTGGGAAAACAGCTATTACACAGAGGTCTTTAGGATCTGGGAAAAAAAAAATCAATAAAATCCTTGATATAAACCATTTCTGGGTTTTCATTTTAAGTTTTGACATTTAGCCCATTTTTCTTTTATTACCTTCTTTCTGTTACAGTGATTTATTTATCTTTCTATATTATGTTTATTTAATAACTGATCTTACCCCAAACATTTTCCATATACAGTCTCTTCCTGACTACCTCTTTTCTGCAGGTCTGTCCAACAGATTTAATTTATAGTACAATTGAGTGATTCATTACGTACTAACTAAGCCAAACTCCAAAATGGAGCTTATAGAAGATATGCAAAAAAGCACTGCTTAGCAGAAGTCTTTCACATTCATGACTATTTTTGTTTATTGCAGAAGAGGTATTCAGCTTCCCTTATGTCCCTGCCTTTTGCTTTTCTATGTGAATTAAATCATTTTCCTCCGTGATAATGAAATGAGTTTTATCCTCTGGGGATGGCAAGAAGGAATTATGGTTGTTTGTGGTAAAACAGAGCAGGAATCTGACTGAAGGGGAAATTCTCGTAATTATATAAAAGTGTAAGAATGTAAGCCTTTAAAAGAAATGAAGATTGTAAGTGATGGGAAGGGGATGGTTTTTATAAGTGGGACCTATTATTTTTGCCAGCTTCTGATGTCAGGAGAAAAGATAACTTTTGCCTCTTTGTAGATCATGTCCCAGAGCTGTGGCAGAGGCTGGAGCGGGCAGAGAGAAGGAGCCCAGAGTCCCAGCTCTGGCCCTAGCGTTGCTACTAACTGTGAAACACTGGGCAAATGCCTCTGCCTTTCTGGACTCAGAATCTGTAAATCAACGGTGAGGCAACAAAAGGTGGTAGGCAGGTATCCCAATAAATTACCAAACCTCCCACTGAGACTCTGTTTTCTCATCCCTCAAAAATTCCCCAGGGTTATTTCAGGGTTAAATGAGGTAACAGAAAGATAGGACCTGACATACTGTAAAATGCTCATTAAATGGAACTTCTTTTCATAATGATGATAATGGCAGGACATTCAACTCCTAGAAATTCATCTGGATGGATGGATGGATGGATGGATGGATGGATGTATTTATTTATTTATTTATTTATTTATTTATTATTTATAAAGGTAATAAAGGCTTTTTTTTTTTTTTAAGATTTCATTTATTCACTCATGAGACACACAGAGAGAGAGAGAGAGAGAGGCAGAGACACAGGCAGAGGGAGAAGCAGGTTCCACACATGGAGCCTGACGTTGGACTCGATCCCGGGTCTTCAGAATCACACCCCGGGCTGAAGATGGCACTAAACCGTTGAGCCACAGGGGCTGTCCCTGGATGGATTTTAAATATCTCTACTAGCAGAGTGAGGTCCATTCTAAATGCTTCGAAATCCACTGACATCCACTTGTATTCATAGTCCCTCACAAAGATACCACACTTTTTATCCTCTTGTATCTTTGATTTATTTAACATTTCAGCGAGTAAAATGTGTTCAGCCACATTTTCTCACTTGGTTCTATTTTTTTTTTAAGATTTTATTTATTTATTCATGATAGTCACAGAGAGAGAGAGAGAGAGAGAGAGAGAGAGAGAGAGAGGCAGAGACATAGGCAGAGGGAGAAGCAGGCTCCATGCAGGGAGCCCGACGTGGGATTCGATCCTGGGTCTCCAGGATCATGCCCCGGGCCAAAGGCAGGCGCCAAACCGCTGCGCCACCCAGGGATCCCTCACTTGGTTCTCAAAACAATTCTGTGAGATAAACAATGCAAAGAAATCTGAGGATCAAAGAGGTGCCACAATCAGGCTGAGGTCTTGAGGCCAAGCCCATAGTACTGGCCTGGCCCCAGACTGGGCATATCACCCCCTCTCCACCTTATCATTCCCCAGTGCAGACCCAGAGGGGGTGCCACCAGCAGATCACTCTCCACATCCCTCTTGCTACTTCTCCAATTATTGATAGTTTATTTTGATCCATTTAATTTTTTAAAAGATTTTATTTATTTATTTAGAGAGTGCATGCACATGTGTGCGAACAGGGGGCAGGGATAGTGGGAGAGGGAGAGAGAATCCCAAGCAGACTCCACACTGAGCGTAGAGCCTAAGACAGGGCATCATCCCATGACCCTGAGATCATGACCTGAGCCAAAGCCAAGGACCAGAGGCTCAGTTATGACTGAACCACCTACCAGGCGCCCTGTGATCCATTTAATTTAAGAAAAAAACAAAAACAACTACTTAAGAATGAAATCCCACAAAAATCAGTAAGCTACAACTTTAAAATGTGTGGCAGCCACTAAATCATAATCTAAACTAAGAAGAAAAAAGACAAAAAGAAATACTAATTTTACTCTCCTTGTTCAGAATTCAACTGCTCCCTAGTTTGTTTCCAAAATACGTTTAGTTATATGAGTCTGGTTGTGTTGACGTGAAGGCTTTTCATGTCCTGCTGAGGCAGACGTCAGGCTTTCAATGTACAATCATGCATCCTATTCAAACCTTCCTTTTTATCATTCCACTTGTTATCCACTATACCTCTCTCAATACCAGATTTTCTTTCTAACCAATTCCCAAAACCATCCTCTTCACTTTAACACAAATAACTGCCCTCAGCACTCTGCACAGTGATCAATCTCCCAGAAGGCAGGAATCTGAAAAGAATGAGAATCAGGAGATGGGAAAAGGCAAGTCTAGGGAAAAGCAGTCTCGTGCAGTTATATTTACTCAACTGCTTGCCTCTGGCTGAATCTCTTTAATGTTATGTTAAATGTAGAAAGTCTATATTATTTGGTAACTATTACAAAAGGATGGTCAGAACTTGAGAGTAAACCATCTTATAGTGCTTGGCTCTGATCAGAGTCAACATTTCATGTAACACATGACATCTCCCATTTGTTAATTTGACCAGTATCAAAAGGTAAGGGTTACCATACCCAAGACTATCCCCGACAGGCTGGACTCCTAGAGAAGGAGCCCCGCTCCAATATGGCACCCCACGGAAACGGAGTACAACAAAATACTTAAGATAATTATTCAAGGGGAATACCAATGCATCCAGAGCAGAAGTCAAGGACTCACTAAGTCACACAGCTGCCACTGTAAGCCTGGATCCCAGCCCCAGATCACAACAGGGAAGGGCTGGCACGTCCCAAATCTTGATGCTGAGATGGCAGAACCAGGTTGGAGGTCACGGTCTATGGCCAGGGGAGAGGCAGGCACTTCTCAAAATATGCAGAATATTAAAAGCTCCACAGGTGAGATGTCCAGGTGCCACTCCTGGAGCTTCACGTCTGACCCTGCCTGATCCCGGTGTGCTGCCCCACCACGCAATGCACCATGAAGGACCCAACCCCTGCTACAGCTCCAGCCCTGATGAGTCTCTCCAGTAAATGCAGCTCCAGCATGCCCAGTGTGGCACTGTCTGCATGGATCCTGTGGATATGCACCACGCTGAAACCCTAAGCACTGTCTTTGTCTGATCTCATCCAATCACCCACAAGCATCCGAGGCAGCAGGGGGGTACTATTATTAGCACAGTCTATAGGAGATAAGAAAACTGAAGCAGATTCCACCACTTGGTTCAAGGTCACTCACTTAATAACTTAATTGACCTTGGGCAATAGGGCCCCGGAGTCCAAGTCCTTAGCCCCTCTTTTCTACCCTCTTAAAATCCCTCAGAATACTCACATCAGCTTCGGAAATTTTGGAGGCCTGTTCTTTGATTCGTTGATGCCACCATTTCTCGACATCCTTTCTTGTCTGCAGCGTGTACTCCTTCGTCCACTCTCCCGTGGCACTGTAAATACCTCTGGCACATCCCGGAATCACTCTCCTTCCTACACTGATGATAGTTGGTCCACCATCTAGCTGGTTTTTCAGAAAAGAGATGTAAAAACCCAGTCTCCGGCAGGCAGAAGCCATTGTGCAGAAAGGTAGAAGGCCTTGATAAAGAGAGCAGAGAGCACACTTAGGAGCTGCCCAGAGAACCCTCTCACTAGTTTGTCCTCCTGTTCCACATAGTCTGGTGTCCCCTAAACATGCAAGTGCTCTCTTATCTTTTTGATGACTTCCTTTCTTGAAAATAACATAGGAGAACTTCAATGGAACAAAACACAAACTTTTTAATGGAAAAAATAAAGGCAGTCAGTGTTCCCAGATGCCAAAGATACAAAACTCCTACAGGAGCAAATGGAGACTGCCAGCTGGACCAGCCCCTGCCACAGGCTCCCAGTCTCCCTTTCCTGAAGACCAGGCCAGGGTCTGTCCAGCACACTTCTTGTCCCATCACCCAGGCTTCAGAGGAGCTCCAACCACAAGTTGGCTTGGTCTGGGGCTCAGATGTTGCCTTCCAGAGGTGCAGAGACTTGGAGAAATTACTTGCATTTTTCATACATATTGTAAGTTCCGTGTACTCATAAGCTGAGCCAAGAAATAACTATTATTTATAAGACTGCTTATTCATTTAGTTCTTCATTCATTATTCACCAAATATGTATTGAGTGCCACTAGGTCCACACACTGTTCTAGGCAGTGGAGATACAGCAGAGAACATAAAGTCTCTTCTTTTGTGGTACTTATACATTAGTAAAGAAAAGCAGGTAAGAATACAAACAAATAAATATACGTGTATAATAGTGGTGAGTGCCATGGTGTTTTTAGAATACAACCCACAGGTTGGGGTCCACCAGGACATCCAGCAGCCATTCAAGACTCAACTTGAAGGTTTCACTGGCTTTCTCCAAAGGTGAATTCCAAAAATGACCTCGTGGAAGCAGTTTCATGTTTGTCAAAAGGTTGAGGGGACAGGTCATCAAATATTTAAGACTTATGACTAAATAGCCTAATCTTTCTGCCTTCTTATACTAGACCACTTGAGAAGTGCTACGGTAAAAAAACAGATATAAAACCAAGAGGGAACTAAAGGAAGAACGTGCACTTTAAGCTGGTGTTAATTGTTTGATTTTCCCAAAAATTTTTCCATAGCTACTAGTGTTTGGCCTGTTTTCACACAGGTCCTGGGTCACGGATGTTGCCAAGAGAGTTTATCATAGGCTTACACAAGTGGGTTTCACACCCACATAAAATGGCATCACAGTGTTGGCATTTTACAAGATGGTCTGCCAAAGATCTTGATATACCAAGTCTCACTGTATTTAACACCTTTTGCCTCTTTGGGGGTGGAAACAGAAAGACAAAAAAAAACACAAAAAACCTGAAAACCTCCATATCCACTGGGCTAGGCTATTCTAAAGTGTGTAGATGTGACTATAGATATCAGGGTTAACTATATAGAAATGGTTGAATAACAGCAAGTCCATATGACCAACCTGATATATAGACACTTTGTACACTTGAGGCAATTGTGTTTATTTTTAAGGGTTGGGTTTCTACATAATTAGAACTATCCACAGGAGTCATGGATTTCATGGTTCCCTGGCTAAGTCAGCATTTTCCTATTTTTACAAGCCAAAGACTGCCCAATTAGCAAGGAGCACAGAGAGATGCCTGCCATTTCTCTCCTGGACTTCATTCCCTAAGAACACATAGGAGAGGGTTCGGGACTATTCTCCCCAACAGAAACAATGGGACACAAAAAACTATAAAAATACAAATTAACCTGAGCCACAGTCTCACAAGTTTTTGCTTTCATTGCTTGTTGGCCATTGTGACAAATGAAAACCCAGAGTGCAGACAGATCAACAATATGAGCAATATGAAGGGAGGTCATTCTTTCACTGAAAATTCTAAATGTCTCTGTAACGTCCTCATATTATATACTAATTGTAAACAACACATACAACACTATCTACCAATGAGAATAAGCTTTCTAAATATGCTTACATAATACATGGCTCACTGACAACCTCTCCTTTACATAAACCAGTGGTATAGATGAAACTGATCTGGGCATTTAAAGAACTTAAAGTTCATAAAGAAAAAAGCACAAGTAGATTAGAAAGTGATATATTATTTAATGAACGGGAAAAAATTTAAATTAGACCCTCATCTCAAACCATAAGCCAGTGTAAATCCCATACAGATTAAAGGCATTTTTTTTAATTTTTATTTATTTATGAAGTCACAGAGAGAGAGAGAGAGAGGCAGAGACACAGGCAGAGGGAGAAGCAGGCTCCATACACCGGGAGCCCGACGTGGGACTCGATCCCGGGTCTCCAGGATCGCGCCCTGGGCCAAAGGCAGGCGCTAAACCGCTGCGCCACCCAGGGATCCTAAATCCCATACAGATTAAAGAATTTTTTTAAGTATCATAAAACAAGACAAAAATATGAGTATTTAATATATTTTCCCAAGGTGCAGGATGTTCTGTCCTGAGCATAAAGCAATGGAGGAGTTCACAAACCATTAATAAATTTGACTCTGAAGATGTGTCAGTATAACAAAAACACCATGAACAAAATGAGGAAGTAAGCAAGAAGCTGAGACAAAATCTTTGCCAAAACTGCAATAACAAAAGATTATCTCACCCTATAAAGAAACATATGAACAGAGAAACGTTGAAAAAGAGACATATGAAAAGAAACATATGAAAAGAGAAACGTTGGGGATGCCTGGGTGGCTCAAGCGGTTTAGCACCTGCCTTCAGCCCAGGGCGTGATCCTGGAGTCCCAGGATTGAGTCCCATGTCAGGCTCCCTGCATGGGGCCTGCTTCTCCCTCTGCCTCATCTCCCTGTCTCTCTCTCGGTCTCTCTCTCCATGAATAAATAAATAAAGTCTTTAAAAAGAAAAAAAAGAGAGAGAAACGTTAAAAATCCAATTTAAAAAATGGGCAAAGGAAAAATGGAAACAGAAATACAAATGTCTAAGAAACATGAAAAACATCAACTTTAGAACTGATCAAAAAATGCAAATTAAAACAACAATGAAATATTTTGCTTGACAGATCAGCAAAAACCCGTTAAGTGAAAAATGGGCATGTTTACACACTGCTGGTGAGAATATAAACGGATTCCACCTCTCTGGGGAGCAATGTGGTAACATGTCAAGAATCTTCAAGAAAAATTCACGCCCAAAGTTAGGGGATCCTCAAGACTCAGAGGGACACAGCATATAGTATGATACTGATAAAATAAAGAAAAATTTTCAACTTTAATGTTTGTGGGCCCTGCTCCTGGGCTCCCAGGGAAGCTACACTTTAACACACTTACCAGGGTCAAAATGATTTGGCAAAGTATGGGCTCTCTTTCTGCGTCAGCACACGTTGTATACCTGCTTCATTTATGAAACAATACAAAAAGGAGCATTCCAAACATAAAGATTTTTAAAAATGGGAAAACCTCCCTGGTTCCCATAAGATTAAAGTCATACAGTCCTGCATATACTAGAAGCATAAACTAAAGTCTGCAACTTTCTGAAACATCCTTTGTCTAATGATTTGCAACTTTTTATGTAAAAAAAAAAAAAATGTATACAACCCTACACCAAATGTTCCTTCCCTGGAGCTTATATAACCCCACACCAAATGTTCCTTCACAGGAGCACTGTCTTCTTTTTGAAGATTCTGTACCCCAGCAGCTGTCCTAACTTGGCGTTGAATAAAACCCACTTTCTTTTTTTTTTTTTTTTTTTAAGATTTTTATTTATTCATAGAGATGCAGAGAGAGAGGCAGAGACACAGGCAGAGGGAGAAGCAGGCTCCATGCCGAGAGCCCGATGTGGGACTCGATCCCGGGTCTCCAGGATCACGCCCTGGGCTGCAGGCGGCGCTAAACCGCTGCGCCACCGGGGCTGCCCTAAAACCCACTTTCTTTTAGGAATTCTAAAAGGCTTGTTCAATTTGCCTTGACAGGAACTTCCTGATGCTCAGCGCTGTTCCCTTTCTTTGCTTTCCAGGCCCTGCTCTTGGCCACTCCATCACCAAAGCCCTGAGGGGCCCAGCCTCTTCCTGGCAACAGATGCAGCTGTTTTATTAGAGAATTATGCCCATTCCATCGATGTGAAAGGTGTTGCTCAGGTCTTGTATTTAGGATCAACTCGGCCCTTTTCTTCCTTATCTCTGTCTCATCCACTTTCTTGCCTAGATGCTTGGCATCCGGTCTTTTCTCCCACATCCTTCCAAAGCATCAATCCTCACTACTGCACTTCAGAGTAGTCCTGATCTCACCTTCTCTTGGGGCTTAAGGTTAAGCTTTCCGATAACGATGGAGGCAGCGGCTCGTGGTCAGGACGGTACAGGCCTAAGAACAGGACAGAAATGACAATCCTATATGGGCCGAGAAACCTACCGGAAGAGCAGGAGACAGACGAAGAAACTGAACACACGGAAGAAGAACGAGAGGGCATTTGCGTGCGCCCACCAGAAAATGTGCAAGAAGGGGCCGGGGAAGGTGCATCTTAAAGAAAACAGATTTTGTGACAAAAAATACAGATTTTGGCTTTTGCAAGCACTAAATCCCCTGTGGCGCCTCAGACAATGATTTCCAGTCGGGAACCGTGGGTCGTCTTTGGAAGATGAGGAGGTGGCCCCACGTCCTCTCTGAGGATTCCCGAGCCTTCCTACGCGGCGGCAATGACCTCGGGGCACGGAGATGCCCTGGACGGTCCGACCCCCGGCCCAGGGAAGCAAAGATCCGGGGATGAACTAGGGCAGGGGAACTTAAGCACACAACTACGTGACCAGGTGCATTCTCCTGGGGCCGGGAGAGTCCAGAGCTATCCTCAGGGCCCGTGGCTGCAGGAGTCGAAGACCCGGGGCTCCGGGACTTCCTAGGTCAGAAACCGCCCGGCTCCGGGGCCACCTAACCCAGCCCGCGCCTCCCCTTCCTGCCCTCCGCAAGTCGGAGCCTCCAGATGCGGGGGCAGAGGCCTCCCCTCCAGAAGTCCCTCGTCCCTCTGAGCCTTGCGCCGGGGTTTACCTGCTCACAGGCCCTGGCCTGTGGCTCCTCACGCCTCTGTTTCCACTTTTAGGGGAACACGGCCCAGACAGTCACTGTGGGCGCCGCCATGTTGGCAGAACAACAACTTTATCGGCAGCGGCCGGCGCAGACACAGACAGGCGGGGGCGGGGCCCGGGAGGCGGACGCCCGGCAGCCTGTGGGGCGGGGCGTCTGCGCGGCGGCCCTGGGCTCCGCCCCCCGCTCCCGGGCCCCGCCTCCCGGCCGCAAGCCCCGCCCTTCGGCCCAGTCCTCTGCCGGGTGTCTTTCCTTTCTTTTTTATTTTTCAAATTTTAAAAACATTTTTATTTATTCATGATAGACATAGAGAGAGAGAAGCAGAGACACAGGCAGAGGGAGAAGCAGGCTCCATGCAGGAAGCCTGATGCGGGACTCGATCCCGGGTCTCCAGGATCACACCCTGCGCTGAAGGCGGCGCTAAACCGCTGGGCCACCCGGGCTGCCCCTCTACCGGGTTTCTGACGTCACCGAAACCATATACTCGCGGGTCCGATTATTCCAGTTGCTGCAGACAAGTGAAAGACACCAGTTTGGTGGCCCCGGAATAAACTAGATGGCAGGTGGCGTAAAGAGCACTGGGAGTGTCTTGATGTCAGGATTCGCATCCTACGGAGAAAAGGGAACCCTCTTACACTGTTGGTGGGAATGTGAACGGCTGCAGCCACTCTGGAAAACTGTGTGGAGGTTCCTCAAAGAGTTAAAAATAGACCTGCCCTACGACCCAGCAATTGCACTGCTGGAGATTTACCCCAAAGATACAGATGCAATGAAACGCCGGGACACCTGCACCCCGATGTTTCTAGCAGCAACGTCCACAATAGCTAAACTGTGGAAGGAGCCTCGGTGTCCATCGAAAGATGAATGGATAAAAAAGATGTGGTCTATGTATACAATGGAATATTACTCAGCCATTAGAAATGACAAATACCCACCATTTGCTTTAACGTGGATGGAACTGGAGGGTATTATGCTGAGTGAAATAAGTCAATCGGAGAAGGACAAACATTATATGGTCTCATTCATTTGGGGAATATAAATAATAGTGAAAGGGAATAGAAGGGAAGGGAGAAGAAATGTGTGGGAAATATCAGAAAGGGAGACAGAACATAAAGACTCCTAACTCTGGGAAACGAACTAGGGGTGGTGGAAGGGGAGGAGGGCGGGGGGTGGGGGTGAATGGGTGACGGGCACTGAAGGGGGCACTTGACGGGATGAGCACTGGGTGTTATTCTGTATGTTGGCAAACTGAACACCAATAAAAAATAAATTTATTATTTAAAAAAATCCTAAAAAAAAAAAAAAAAAGGATTTTTGCATCCTAGCTTACCTACAACTGCCTACTGGCCTTGGGTAGGTCTTGTGACCTCTGAGTCCTTAATGATGGTTCAGGATCTTCTTCCATCATATTCTGTGATTTTATAGCCCTGTGAAGGAAATTACCTGGCCGTGATTTGGGATAAAGTGTACTTTTCTCACCTGGAAGTGGGCTGGGAGTCAGGAAAGCAGGATTCCTGACCAACCACTTTCCTGGAGGAGTTTATGTACCCACAACCCAACCCCTCACCTGCCCCCACTAGTGTTTCTTGCTACAAATGAAAGAATCAATGAACGAATTGTAAAGGACCAGTGGCGTATGATTTTTAAAAAGGTAAAGCCTGTTTATTTTTAAGATTTTATTTATTCATGAGAGACACACAGAGTGAGGCAGAGACATAGGCAGAGGGAGAAGCAGGCTTCCTGTAGGGGGCTGGATCAGGGACTTAATCCCAGGACCCTGGATCACAACCTGAGCGGAAGGCAGATGCTCAACCACTGAGCCACCCAGGTGCCCAATAAAGCCTGTTTAAAGGAGATTTTGAAGAACTCCTATCTGTGGGCAATCAGGAATACTGATATGAACTTGGTAATTATGCAAAACTGGTTGATAATCCTATAGGACAAGAAGAAGTAATGTTTGAGAGCCATCTTTTTCCAGTGTTGACATCAGTTGTACTTCTATAAAACAAGTCAGTCCAGTACTATACATATTCTACATTTTAACTTCTACTCTTACAATGCTGAACAATGGAAGATAAGGAAAGGTGCATACACCGCTAGCACCAGATAAGTACCAGACCAGCACTCCACCCAAGGGACACACAGGAATTTTTTTGCCCGTTTCCAAGTCTTTAACCAAATTTCCGGACAGTGCGAAATCTAAATACTTGGCTGTTCAAAGGGTGGGGTCTCCAGACTCCCATCAGCCTCACCTGAAAACTTGCTAGAAATGTTGAATCTCAAGTCACACTCTAATCTGCTGAATAAAGCTCTCCATTTTAACAAGATCCCCAGGGGATTTTCAGGCACACGGAAGTTTGAGATTCACTGTCTTAGGATGTGAATGTTAGAAAGGATCTTGAGAACACTCTAGACCAGCCTGCTCCTTTTACAGATGAATAAACCGAGGCCCTACAGAACTGACTTGTCAGGTTCAAGGTCATAAACAAGTTAATGGAAGGTTTGTGATTTGCCACCGGACCTGTAGCCTGCTAGAATAGTGACCTTCGCAAATTGCAGAAGGGAAGGTCTCGGGGATCTTGGGCAGCTACCGCTGCAACCCTCCCACTTCAAAGATTAGGACACCGAGGCCCAGAGATTAGATACAGCTTGCCTAAAGTCATACAGCCAGTTGATGGAAAGGCCAGGATTCCAATCCAAGTCTTCTGATCTCTCCACCCCTGAAACTAGATGCTTAATTTTTTGAAAGATTTTTATTTAAAAAAAAAAGATTTTTATATATTTTTTGACACACACACACACAAACAAACACAGAGCACAAGCAGGGGGAGCCAGAGGGAGAGCAGCAGACTCCCCACTAAGGAGGGAGTCCGATGTAGGGCTTGATCCCAGGACCCTGAGATCATAACCAAAGGCAGACGCTCAACCCACTGAGCATCCAGGTGCCCTTAGATGCTTAATTTAAACTGACACCATGGAAGCATTGACTCTCATATTAACATGCTACACTTAAAGTAATTTAGCCTTCAGGTATGTCATGTTTTATCCATCTATAACTAGAGCGCCCTTTCTCTAATTATCCAAAATACTAAACTCTAAGTAGCCTCCACCCTTATGTTGGTTCAAAATCTCTCTTCTCTCTTAAGAATTAAAGTTAACATTGACTTTTCTAGGAGATTATTTCAAATAGAATTTTTCTAAAAGCCATTTGCTTTACTGGAAAGTTGCTATTTTTACATCAAAGAAGACAGTAGCATGAAAGTAAATCCCTTTCACTCTTAAAAAGCTTGCTGCAAAGATGCATTATTGAATGAAAGAGACAAGTTGCTGGGCCATGTAGAAAGTTACCCCACTTTTTATTTTTTTTAAAAGGAAAGGAGATAAAAGAAATACATTTGTTAGTATATGTGTGGAAAGAAATCTAGAAAACTATGTCCCTATATCCTATGATGATCTCTAGGGATGGGGTGGTTCTATGGGCCTTTCTTTTTATGACAAGCTTCTGTATTCCTTTTGCTAATTTCTATTAGCTTGTGTGGGAGGCTGAATAATGATTCCCAAAGATATCTAGGTCCTAATCCCTGGAACCTAGGAATGTCACCTTATATGGCAAAAGAGACTTTGCAGATGTGATGAAATTAGGAATCGTGAGATAAGATTATTATGGATTGGTCAGCCCAGGTGGCTCAATGGTTTAGCACCGCCTTCGGCCCAGGGCGTGATCCTGAAGACCCAGGATCGAGTCCCATGTCCGGCTCCCTGTATGGAGCCTGCTTCTCTCTCTGCCTGGTCTCTGACTCTGTCTGTGTCTCCTCATGAATGAATAAATAAAATCTTTAAAAAAGATTATCCTGGATTATCCTGCTGGGCCCTACATGCCATTATATCCGTCCTACTAAGAGAGAGACAGAGGGAAGTTTGAGACAGAAGAGGCAATGTGACTCCTAAAGCAAGATGCTACCCTTCTGGTTTATTTATTTAAAAAAAAAAGATTTTATTGATTTATTCATGAGAGACACAGAGAGAGATAGGCAGGGACATAGGCAGAGGGAGAAGCAGGCTCCCCACAAGGAGCCCGATGCGGGACTCGATCCCAGGACCTGAGTCAAAGATGCTCAACCACTGAGCCACCCAGGCGCCCCCATACCCTTCTGGTTTAGAAGATGAAGGACTCTGAGCCAAGGAATGCAATAAGTCAGCTCTGGAAGATATAAAACACAAGAATATAGATTCTCCCATATGATTCAGCAACTCTACTTCTAGGGAGATACCCTGAAGAGTTGAAAGCAGAGTCTTAAAGAGATACTTGAACACCCATGTTCATAGAGGCATTATTCACAATAGCCAAAAGGTGGAAGCAACCCAAGTGTCCATTGAGTCATGAGTGGATGGAGTAAAATATGATGTTTACCTACAATGGAATATTATTCAGCCTTGAAAAGGAAGCAAATTCTTACACATGCTACAACATGGATGAACCTTGAAGACATTTAATTTGTTTAATAGGCACAATGTTTCAGTTTGGGAAGATGAAAATGTCCCAGGGGAAGAGTTGGTGGTAAGTAGCTACATAACAACATGAATATACTTAATGCCACTAAACTATACACTTAAAAATGGTTCAAATGGTATGTTTCATGAATATTTTAATAAAAAAAGAAAGAGAAGAAAACAGATCCTCTAAAACCCCCAGGGGGAGTGCTGACAACTTGATTTAGACCCAGTGACACTGATGGTCAAGCCACCAAGTTTGTAGTAATTTGTTACGGCAGCCATAGGAAGCGTGATATTTCAGCTTCCATGACTTTCTATGCAGAAAAAAAATCAAGAAGATTTTTTGGTAAATAAATAAATAAATGCCCATCACCATGTGTTTGGTTTGAAGGGGTGTGGTGGCTTCACTTCTCTACTCTCTGTTCATTTCCTTACCCCTCCCACTTGCTCTGCATTCTCTTTGTCTAATATAAAAGCTTGTGTGTGTCAGCAATTTCCAGAATTAGGAGTCTCCATTTCTTTTCCTCAGTGTAAAATAAGACTATTCCTCTATCTTACC